TAGGAAGAAAGGAAAAGAAATACAAAGAAACGATGCCAGATTTATTTTTACAATGTATTTAAGTATAAACTTATATTAAACTCTTACTCTAAGTTAATAATATCACTTTCATTTTCTAATCATCAAATCCACATATCATAATTTAATATTTTTCACGTGTCATGCAAAAGTCTAGAAGAGGCTTCTAATCAGCATTAAAATTAATCAATGTCATTTCTTTAATTAAAACTGTCAGTTTCACGATCTTCACGATCTAAAACTGTCAGTTTCGCGATCATCATTTTCAACAATCATTCTTCCATTATAGGTAATATCAATTTTTTTTTTCACCACTGTGCATCTATAAAAACAAAGTTCCATGAATATTTTCAGCTGCTTATTCATCAACCCCAAAAGAAATATATCTGGTTTTAATTCTATATTAGTCTCTATATTAGTCTTTAAAGTCTTCTGAATTAATGAATGTATTTGAATCCAAAAGATAAATTATATCACTTGCTGTAAAGATCTTTGTATTAACATTAATCAATGAAATTGAATTATAATTGAATGTGAGCTTTATCTGTTTCGGTATAAGAGTAATATAAACCTAATTAAATGCTGGTGATAACATTTCTTTATCAAATATCATATAGTTGATAAAGTTTTGACAGCAAAAGATCTATGAATGTTTTATACCACTCAATAGGAAACTTATTTAATCCTGGTGTTTTACCATGTGACATTTTAAAATTATTTGTTTTAACTTTTATCATAGATAAGGGATGAATAAAAGTTGTTTTTGTGTTTCATCTAAATGTTGAAGATTAGTTTTATTTAAACATACCTCTTTATCTTCCCTCAAAATGATATTGTACACTTTTCCTGATGTATTCTACTATTTATCTATTTTATAAATAAATTAAATTAAAATATTAATTTATCACCCTTTCAAAAGAAAAACCAGTATTTTCATACCAGGCAGTTAATGGTTATTCTACTCTGAATGGAGTTATCAATTGAGGAAAGTGACAGGCAGTTGAAGGTTAATATGTCTTAGGATTGTATATTGAGTTTCTCAGGTTTTTGGCAGTAGGTTTTCAAGGGCTCAGTTGCCTGCCGTAGACATTTAAAAGGGAAAATAGTTTGGGAATACTGCCCCATGACAGATTCAAGCCTGATCTATCATGATTTCCATTAATTTTCAGGATTTTTGTCTAAGTTTCTTTGGATGGCCTACAGCCATGTGGATGGTGCCTACAAGGAACAAGATATATATATCATTTGTCAGTTGGTTGGATTTCTTTCTTCCTGTTTTCCTGAGCCTCTTGGTTATATTCTGGAGCATTTGAGGATCCTGACACTGAGAGAAGGTTGGAGACAAGAAAGGTCTGGTGTATTAAAATATTACATGCACAAATTTGGCTTGAAATGGGACAACTTGCCACAGCCAACTCGCCATGGCCAACTTACTGCAGGACAACTCGCCACAGTCAATTTGCTGCAGGACATAAGGACAATTTAACAATTCAATTTAATTATTTAAAATAAATCAAAATATTTCATTTTTTGTCATTCACATTTCATTCTGTCCCTCTTTTTGCATCCTTATTAAAAGGATACTATTCCACCATTTTTTTAAATATTGGTGTACCTCTTGTCCCACAATGAATTGTCCCAAGGTGAGTTGGCCATGGCAAGCTGGCTATGATGAGTTGGCCATGGCAAATTGTGATAGACCCATTTTGGGTTACCTGGAGAAGGAAGCCTCTCCTAATGAAACTTACGGAGTTATACAACATATTCAACAACTTGAGAACATTTTTACAAAAGGATATCATCTCCCTCCAAACTGTATATACAGTGTTCTGGATTTTCTGCACCTCTCTGGAGAAGTTAATGTTATACATTCTTGCATATTTCACTTAAGCTGGCAATAATGATACCATCTGGTAGCCATTCAGGGGGTTCATTTTGTTTTTGTTTTTTTTCAGTGTACATTATGAAATACTGGAAAGAAGCAAATCAGATGGAAATATAATAAAGGGCAAATCAAAGCAATGTGATCTCTTTATTTATCAAATATGGCAAAAATTAGAAGATAAACCTCCCCAGGGCATCATGTTAAATGAATTATAACTGGATCACAAGAAAAAAAAAATCCCTTGCAACTGAATATACTAAATTGAAACTTAATATAGCTACATTGCTGAAACTGCACACAATGTCCTCTGCTATTATACCCTTGAATATGTGCTGTGATGGGCAGTTAGTATTAAAATCAACTCTTTTGAATAATCTCCTTTAAAGCCATTATTTTCTGTTAATTTCATATTTATGGGCACATCATCCGTTGTTATCCTCCTTTTCACATTTATGTCTCTGTGGTATGTTTTACACAGTTCACTGCTTAGCTCCCTTTCCAACTGTTTTATATGTAAAACCCTGAATGAATTTAAAAGCACTTTTCTTACTGATTACTTCTGTAGGCTTTCATCAGTATGGAATTTATGGACTAATAAATTTTGGAATAATTAGGAGCAGAATTAAAAACAAAACAAAGAGTACCAAACCCAGAGAGCTACCAATTACAACCTGGATGGCTTTTTAATTCACTGTTGGAAAATAATAATGTTACGAGTGATTAACAGAATGATATAAATCTTTATCAAGTAGCTCTGTAAAGTTCTTCTCCTCCCCTTCCTTCTTCCCCAGTTTCCTACTTTGGAGGTTTAATACTAGGAATTATTGCAGTCCTGTACAAAAAAAATGGTATAACATCCTTTTCTGGGTTTTAGGGAACTAAAATTGTTCAATTTAGAGAAATGCTTCTTCTAAATGAGACTGTGACACCCCAAAGTTATGCTGTTAAACCAAGAACATTAGTTTTTAATCTCCTTGCGTTCTGCATTCTAGTGGTGTTAGTTTTTGAGATGCAGTATGTTGATCATGTGTTCATTGGAGCTACCAAGCTGTATTCCACAGATCTCCATAGAGGTTAGATCAGTGATACAATTTTAAACAGTATGGCTGCTGTTCTAATTTATTTGTCACATTTTAAGCAGACATAGATTTTAAAACAGAGATAGCCTGACAAGGGTGGGTCTTTGGAATGTAGCAAGGCAGCTATAGGTAATCAGAACCCAGCCTTTAACAATTGCCCATGATTCTGTTGTATGGGCATTGGCACAAATTCCAGGCTTCAGCTTGCTCTGTGTGGTTGGATCCTGTATGTTCCACTTATGAGCTTACCATGCAATATTTGACCAAGTTTATAATTACATACGTAAATTAGGTTTGACACTTATCATATCCACTTGTGGGTTTTTGATAGCATGGCAATCAAATACTCTTCTACCAAACTTTTGATACTTTTATGTGATCCTTGATTCTGATTTATTATAGCTTAAAGGAGAAATAAAGATGAACCTTCTTTGATCATGGCTTCCATGCATGTCCTAATTAAGAAACAATTACTATTAGTTTGGGATCGAACCTTTATTTTGTGTTTTGTTTAATTATCCTCTTTTGATCTGATGAGAAAGAATGATTTTGTTTCTCTTTCTCCATATAGGCAACCTGGACAATTTTTTGATAGCTATAATTCTGAATTCTGGAGGGGTACAGATAAATTTTTCATGGACTTCAGAGCTTTGTAGTTTTTCATTATGCTCTCAAGCTTCCTTCTGATCAATGAATTCCCATGGAAGGCTTCAGAGAGACTATTCCCCATGGGACATTTTTCAGATGTGGACACCCAGAGGGATGAAGAATGCAAGTTATAACAGAAGAAGAAAAAATAGCAGCAACATGCTCTGTTATTTCGAAAATGCAACCCTCACTCCCACCCATTGGAAATATACAAAAAAAAGTTTCCTTTTTTAAAAATAATTTTTATTCTTTAAAAACAAAAAATACAAAAATCTCATTACTATTAACAGTTATTATGTCATTGTATATACATATTTCTTATTTTGTGACTACATTATTTTTATCCTTATCTTTCACCGATTCGTATCACTTCTCCCATGTCGCATAGGGTTCTCAATCCTCTTTGCCTTTCAGTTCCATAGTGAATTTATCTAGTTCAGTACAGTCCATTATTTTTTGAATCAAAACTTCATCTGGTGGTATTTTATCACTCTTCCAATTTTGTGCTAACATGACTCTTGCTGCAGTTAATATGTGTACAATAAGGTATCTTTTATCTTTACTCAAATTCCCTTTGATCATACCTAATAAAAACATTTCGGGTTCAAAATTCAATTTATATTTTGTAATCTCAAAAAGCCATCTCTGTATTTTCTTCCAGTATTTTTTGACCTCTCTACATTGCCACCACATATGGAAAAATGTTCCTTTCTTTTGTTTGCACTTCCAGCATTCTGATTTCAAGGTTGGATACATTTTCACCAGTCATGCCAGCGCTAAGTGCCATCTCCCAAACATTTTATATTGATTTTCTTTGAAAGCTGTTGACAAAGTCAGCTTCCAGTTCTCAGTGCAAGTCTTTTCCCACTCATCCAAATTTATATTATGACCCACATTTCTCGCCCAGGCAATCATTGGTCCCTTCACAATTTCCTCCTCTAGCTCTACCTCTAGTAAATAATTATATGTTCGTGTTATAAATTTTATATCCTTGCTTGTCAAGTTTTGGTCCAATTTTTGTAAATCTTTATCTATCCCTAACTCCTTTACTTCTTTCTTAAATTTAGTTTGAATTTGCAAATATACCCACCAGTCTAATATTATCCCTTGTTCTTTTAGTTTATCCAGTGTTTTTAATTCCCCCTGTTCTTTATATCTAATTTAATTAGATATATTTAATTCACCAATTCTTTATATCTAATCATTTTTTTAGTGTCCCTTGTATTTGGATATAATATAGCTTCCATAAGTGAGATCCAGTTTGGTCTTTTCAAATAATGCTTTTTTTCCCCTCCCATGTTTGTAAAAGTGAGTCCCTTATAAAATGTCTATGGGAATAGGAGTGGATCTTATTCTTTTTATCCCATAAAAAGGCATGCCACCCAACTTGGAGGTCATGACCTTCTATCACCAAAATTCTTTTATTTTTTAACTTTATCCACTCCTTAACCCATAGTAAAATTGCTGCTTGATAATGTTTCCCATTTTGGGAGTCCAAGGCCGCCTCTGGTTCTATTATCTTGTAACATTTTCAATTTTATTCGTGCTTTTTTCCCCATTCATATAAATTTCATTACCATCCTATCTAATTCCTGAAAAAAATTCTTATCCAATTTTATAGGTATTGTTTGAAAATAGTATAATAGTTTTGGTAGTATGTTCATTTTTATGGCTGCTATTCGGCCCAATAGGGATAGTTGTAATTTTCCTCAATTGGCCAGATCTTTCTTTATCTGTGAAAGTAATTTCATATAATTATCCTCTTTTATGGAAGAGCATCTTCCTGTTAACCAAATTCCTAGATACTTAAGTTTTTTGACATTTTGTAGTGCCAATTTCCTTTCCAATTTTTTTTGACTTTCTATCAAGTTTTTGGTTATTACTTTTGTTTTATCTTTATTAATTTTTAGTCCTGCCACCACCCCATAATCTTCTAATTCTTGGATTAGATAGGTCCCTGACTCCATTGGATCTTCCACAAAAAACATTGTCGTCCGCAAACACCTGTACTTTATATTCTTTTTTGCTCTTCAGTCCAATCATCTCCTTTCTTTGTCTAATCTGATTTAAAAGCACTTCGATGGTCAAGATAAAAAGCAGTGGCGACATTAGACATCCATGCCTAACACCTTTCATAATCTTAAAGTTTTCAGTAATCTCCCCATTTATAATTACCCTAGCTTTTTGGTTCAAATAAATTGTGCCAATCATTTTCTTGAATTTAAATCCAAATCCCATTTTCAACCTGTTGGATCAAGAATTGTCAGCTGAGATTGTCGAAGGCCTTTTGAGCATCCAAGAAAATCAATGCTGCCTGCTTTCCCGGGTGGGCCTCATAGTATTCTAATACATTTAATACTATTCTTATATTGTTCCTTATCTGTCTAGAAGGTAGAAAACTGTTCTGGTCAATATGAATAAGTTCATTTAATATAATTTTTAGTCTTTCTGACATTATTGTTGTGAATATTTTATAGTCTGCGTTCAGGAGTGAGATTGGTATATAATTTTTAATCTGTTTGTGATCTAAATCTTCTTTAGGAATTAGTGAGATTTTCACTTCTCTCCATGAATCGGGTAATTTAGCGAAGTCTAATACCTCATTGTACACATCTAACATTACTGGTTCAAGACATTCATAAATACATTTATACAGTTCTCCTGGAAGACCATCCAGCCCTGGAGTCTTATTATCTTTCTGCCTTTCAACTGCCCTTTTCAATTCCATCACTGTTATTTCTTTATTTAATATCTCTTTCTGTTCCTCTCTAATTTCTGGGAGACCTTTCCTTTTCAAATATTGTTCTATATTTTCAGGGTTTATTTCATCCTCCCTATATAGTTGTTCAAAATATTTTTGTACTATTTTCTTTTTCTCAGTCATTCGATATTCTAATTTTCCATCATCATCCTCCAATTCTTGTATCAACCTTCTTTCTCTTTCTAAGCTTAATTTATGGGCTAACCACCTCCCTGCTTTATTTGCATGTTCAAAAAAATTTTGTTTTGCCCTTTTCACCTCTTTAACTCTCTCTTCCTGATTTATAATGTTCAATTTATGGCTGGTAAGAATCATCTCTCTCAATTTTTCATCTTGTGGGTTTTCTTTTGTAATCTACTTTCTAGGTCTTTAATCTCCTCCTGTAATGTATTCTGATTTTGCCATCTTTCCTTATTCCTTTTCACTGTATATGCTGTTACCAGTCCCCTCAAGACTGCCTTTGCTGTATCCCATAAATTCTGTAATGATGTTTGCTCCACTGTGTTTTCCTTTAAAAAAAGTTCCATTTCTTTCTTAATTTTCTCTACAAAATTTTTCTCCTTTAAAATTTGGGGATTAAGTATCCACCTTCTACTCTTCCTTTTCCTTCCTTTCCAAGTTATTTTTAATGGGTTATGATCAGCCCATACATTTGTCATAATCTCTATCGAATCTAGTTGGTTTCCTAGTTCTGCATCCATCCATGCCATGTCTAATCTAGACATGATTAGTGTGGGTTAGAGTAGAACGTGAATTCTTTTTTCCCCAAATTTATTTTCCTCCATCGATCTATCAAATTTAGTTCCTGCATCATATTGAAAAAGGATCTGGGCAAAATTTTCCTTTTCTTTTTGTTCTTTACATTACTAAAATAATCCTTCCTTATATCTACTACCACATTAAGATCTCCCACAATGCTTACATTATCTTGTCCCATCTCAGTGATTCTCTCATTTAAATCCTTATAGAATTGACTTTGGTTGTCATTCGGCGCATAAACTGTAAATAATAACATTGGCTTGTAGTTCAAGTATCAAAATTCTCCCTTGTGGGTCTACATATTTTTCTTTTTTAACATATACCACAATCCCTTTCTGTTTTTGATCTGCCAGGGCTACAAATAATCTTCCTAATTTAGGATATTCTAAACATTTCCAGAATTGTTTTTTAATATGAAGTTCTTGCAGGCATACTATTTTTAATTTCTGTTTGACTAATCTAGATAGTATCTGTTTCCTTTTAATGGGTGAGTTTAGACCATTTATGTTTAATGATAATAGCTTCGTTTCGATTTCCGTCTTTCTACTTGTGGGATATTATCTGTCTTGTGTTAATTCTAGTCTCTCTTTGCGGGTGTGTTCTTAATCTTCTTCCTTCCGTCTCCTCCTTGTTCTCTCCTTTTTGTTCTAGGCCTCCTATATCTTGCTGTTCTTCTTCTTCTTGGCTTTCTGTCTCTAGGTCTTCTCTACCACTGCTTTCTTCTTCTGTTCCTCCAATCTGCTCATAGAAATCTTGTGCCTTGTCTAAGTTATCTATCCTGATCCTCTTTTCCTGCCATGTTACCAACAAGAGTCCTGGAATTAACCAACAAAACATTATGTTCTTCTGGATAAGTTGTGTTGCCAAAAACTTAGTCTTTTCTCTGTTCACGCACCTTCTTGGGAACCTGCTTCAGGGTTTGCACTTCTTTATCTTTATAAACCAAAGGTTTGTCTCATGTTATCTTATATATTATGTCATGTACTTGTTTTCTGGCAAATCGCATGTGGACTTCCCTGGGTAACCTGTTACATTGAGCATAACTCATATGAACTCTATAGGCCTCATCAATTTCTAGCAGGATCTCCTGGGTCTCCCTTTGTAAAGCTGGCACAAGTAGTTCTGCCATAAGCACATTCAGATCTTCATCTCTACTTACAATGATATTTTGAAACCTCAAGTAGTAGGCAGCACAGTCCATCTCTAGGTGGATAATCTCTTCTTCTAATCTTTTATTTATTGTCATCATCCTGTTGTCCATTAGTTCCAATTTCTTTTCATTTTGTACTGTTCTAAGTTCCACCTCTTCTAGTTTCTGCTCATTCTTTTGCATTGTTTGCTGTGTAGTATCAACTTTGTCTTCTAATTTATTAATATTGCCTTTCAATTCTATATGATTTTGCAAAATATTCTCTTGTGTTTTTATCTGTTGTTCTTGCATTTTAAGCATGGTTTCTGGAATGGTTATTAACGAACCCTGTATTGTTTGCATATTGACTACAGTTTGTTTTTCTGCCCCTGACATTCCTTCAATTGCCTTTTGACTGGCAGGTGATGTAATTGTCAATGTTGGACTAGATGTTGTCTTCTTTGCCATTCTCCAGGCTGATGTCATGGCACTGGTTTATTTTCAAGCTCTATTTATTTCTACCTATTTTATTATCTCCTTTACAATATATTTTAAACTAATCTCTTACTCTCAATTTATTCCTTCTTCTTTTCAAATCTCTTTATTATAATTATATAGAATTAGCATCACTTGTTATCCCTTTCTCTATCTCAAAGTCAATATCACTATATATATTTAACAATATCCTACTCAGACAAAGCCCTCCTGCTTTTCCTTATGCACAAAGTATCAAATTTATTCTTTTTTCCTTTTATTATAATAAAAGGGGGAATCTAATTTCCATTAATATAATCACCTAGATATACACTCCCCTTAATCTCTTAATATTGTAATCAAAACTTATTTATCACTATATTTCTTTAGTTCAATATACAATACTTAATCAAAGTAATTATAACCTCAAATATCACCCCAATAGAGAAGGAAAGACAAAAAGCCCCCCCTTTTAATTTCTTAATTCACTTTTAACTTAGAGCAGTAATCCAATAGCCAGGTATTTCTCAATTGAAGGATCTATATCTGCATGTATCTCTATATATCTTACTCAAACACTCCTTTTCTATTTCTTTCTATACACAATGTATTGTAGTTTCTCCTTTATACAATAAAAGAGGGGTCAAGGTTTAGATTCTCTATACTCACAATGTTGTAGAATGGCAGAAAAACCTGAGGCAAACTTGGAGCGAACTTCAGCTTTTACTTTATTGACACAATAAAGGGTTGCCGTGGCTGCTGCACTAACAAGGCAGCCAGCTGGTGGACAACAGCTGATGCCATTTGACAGCTCCCTTTGATAGCCAGCTGTCAAATGGCATCAGCCAATAGGAACGGTCCATGTTGCTGCTGGAAACACGGACTGGAGTGAAGACTTCGGCTTAGTCTTTTCCAAACACCACACTCCTTTCCCCCAGAACAGAGCATGCATAGTCCTTTAGATAACTCGGGTGCTTGCGCAGGTGGCCAGATCTTCTAAGTCCTGATGAAGCTGCTGCTGGAAGGAACTTCTCTGCTTGCTGGGCAACTTCTGGTGCCGATGAAGCTGGCATCTCGGCTTCAGGCATTTCTGGGCGAGGGACTGATGGCTGTTCAGGTAGGCTTGCGTTCTTGTTAGATCCAAGGGAAGTTTCTTTGGGCGCTGGCAGTTTCTCTGTTGCAGGAATATCTCGTGGGCCATCTGCAAACGCACTCCAATGCCTTCTAAGCTGATTGATATGGTGCCGCCAGATGCGCCCATCTTGCAGTAGGACCCTGTAAGTCTTAGGACCAGTTACTGCCACAATTTGCCCAGGCATCCAAAAGGGTGTCCCGCATAGTTCCGGGCATAGACCTGGTCATTCTCAGTGAACTCCCTTGTCTGCCTTTTTGACCCCAGGGGTGTGACTGGGGCATAATGCGGATGGAGTCTGTCTAGGGTGGTCCTCAGACATCTACCCATGAGAAGTTCAACTGGACACTTATTAGTGGTGGCACAGGGGGTTGTGTGCTGGGTCAGGAGGTACTTAGAGAGCCTAGAGTGCCAATCTACAGGCCCAAACCTTGCCAGGGCCTCCTTAACTGATCTGACTGCCCTTTCAGCCAGGCCATTACTGGCAGGATGAAAAGGAGCTGTAAGTG